GTCTCTGAGTATCTCTGAAAATCTCTTCAGGGTTATTCATTTCTTTCTATAGTTGATGATCATTTTGGTAAAACTCAGAATGCAGTGAAAATACAAACACTAACCTATAAATGTTAATCTTTTATTTCTTCCATTCAAGTGAGAAATAAGACACAAAACTGACTGAAAAGGTGAGATGACATAACATTAAAACAAGTATGAACACACTTTAAAAAACATGATGGAAATTACTTTCTGCCATCCAAAATACCCATTTTCCCTTGTCTGGAAATAGAGAGGTGGATAATTTTGTTTAGATGCTCCAAAGCCAAAGGAAGCTAGCCATTCCCAGTATGATAGCACAATGATGAAAATTTCTGTGTTATTTTGCCTTGGATAAGGTTACCAGTTATTGCCCAAAATGCTATTCCTGACCTTTTTGAAGATTTTTCTTTATGTTACTACCATACATTACAGCAATTTGTGAATAAAGCAAGCTAGCTTCAATACTGTGTGTCACAAAATCACAGGAGAGCTTAAAAGAACAAATTCAGTTCCTCAAAGAGGGGCTTGTCTTCTGAAATTCCAAGCTTGAGACTCTAGTTGCCTGTCTGCTCTGCAGATTTTAGACAAGTCACACCTCTAATAGCACAGGGGCCAATTCCATACAAGTGGCCACTCTCTCTTTCACCTGTCTATCTAGCCTACCTGCTCTTTCTCTGGAGAACTGAAGACTATCACTCCATGGAGGCAGTTTTGTGCAGATCTGAATGCTTCATGTCTAGACATATGTGCTAATAATGGCCTCTCTGCTGTGCTAGAATTGCCCTAAGGCCGGGGAGGTTCTTATCTTTTATATTATTAGATGAGGTTTAGTTTTTCTGTGACCATAGTAATTTTCATACTTTACTCTTTGATATTACATGCAGATTATCATGAAGCTTACAACTGACTGTAAATACATAATCAAGAATGATACAGAAAAATCAACAAATGAACTGTTAGGACTTTGTGTTCTTTTAATCCAATTTTAGCTGTATATACATTTAGAGCTATATTTATATCTCAGAAAAATGAGGATTTTTTACTAAATTGATAAAAGCTTAAAGATTAAATATCCTGTGTATTTGAAGAAAGAACTTCCCAGACACACATGATCATTCCATTGCCCAGTGAGGTTTGTACTCCTTTATCATCTTAAAATTTTTGCATTTTAGAGTTTTATGGCCAATTTATTAATCACAATGTCTTAGATTTCCCAAGCTTCTGTCTGTATGTACCTTATATCAATAGGTCTTTCAGAATTTCCCCCAGCTAAAAACAATCTCTACTATTTTGTTCCATTTATCTATACCTATTCCAAGTTTTTATTGATTTTTAAGTTTTTATCAAGCTCATACTTGTGGTGATGTATTATTTATGATTTAATAAAGCTTGCTTGAAGGATCAGAACACAAAGCTGATCACAGCTATGGAAGATGGACAGTAGTGGCACACACCTTCAATCCCAGGATTCAGGAGGCAGAGACAGATGGATCTCTATGAGTTCATGCCACCAAAGTATACATAAGAGTGAATCAGTCTAAAACGGTAATAGAGCTCAAACCTTTAGTCCCAGCACTAGAAAGGTATATAAGACAGAAGAAAGGTGTTCAGTATTTAGTCTTAGGCATTCAGTTACCAGTCATGCTAAGGATTTGTGGAGACAGGATTGTCCATTTAATCTGAGGTAAGGTTAAGAGCTAGTGGTGGCTGCTTTGCTTTTCTGATCTTCAGCTTGAATCCTAAAAATCTGTCTCTGAGTTTATTATATGTGTTACACATATTCAGTTCTGAGAACTTTCCATTGTTGTCCTCTTGAAGCAAACAAATCAAAAGATCACAGTAACTAGATTGTCAAAAATTGCTGAACCAGTTAACAAATTAATAGGCATGATATTTTGTGATATTTGCAAGCTCCATTCACACAAAGAAACAGATTCCAGAGTCAAAAAGTTCACAGCTGAAACCAAGATTCATGGGAAAGTCTTGAATCTCTCAAATTGTATTAGCAATGATCTCAATGCTCTCATTTGAAAATTTGAGAAAATAAACCTCATAAAATGTTTTGCTCCTTGTGATATTTTCAGGCAGCCTCTATTTTCACAATAATTTAGCAAAATACGTTTGATATTTGTGAACTGCTCACTAATGCTTATATAATTTGGGTTCCCTATTCATCTCTCTCTCTATGTTTTTCTTTTAGTTTATAGCTGACCATGGTTAAATCCATAATTTTATTTTAGCCAAGTGATTACATAGCTTAAGAAGATATTAACATGAAGGTCAACAGACATGATCATTATCAATCAAACTGCCCAATAAAGTTAATAAATCTATATTTACTGGTTAGGGAGAATATGCATTTTGTGTGAAGATTCTTCCATTCCAAAAGCAAACAGAACCCCACATGCAATACTGAGCTATCCAATACTTTTAAGTGTGAGATGTGGTACATAGTTACAATTTGCAATGTTGGTAACTATAGTAATATACACTTTTTATTTTTCCTGACTATCTTATAAATCAGAGTAGCATATTTTTCACATTTATTCATTTTGTTGGTTACATTCAAGCAGACAGTGAAGTTTACAAGTCATGTCAAACCTCAAGTATTAAATGTACTGTTCCTTATCTCAAAATGTTTCTTCTAGAAGGTATTGTACTTTTTCTGAGCTAACAGAAATTCCATTTAAGAATTTTTTTATTTTGTGCAGATGATTATAACCTTTAAATAGGAACATGAAGTGCAAGAACATAGTTTGATCATTTCCTGGAAATTACTATGAATGAGTAAACAAAATTGGATTTTTTGATTACATATAAAATGGCACAGACTTTAATAACCTTCTTATCGCAGTAAGGTATTTATTAAGGATTAGCAGTTTAAAGGGACTTGGGACTGTAGGTCCTGCAAATGATTTGTGAAGGACAACTTATCAAGAAATGTGCTCTGCATCTCTTTCTTTTGATTATAGATTGTAAGTAGAACCCTTTCACTTTTCTTGAATATTTTCTATTTAGGGAAATTGACCTGTTAGAAATCATGACCCCTCCAATAGCTGTGAGCACATTTAGAATTATGTGTTATGAAACACAATTCTGTGCTGAATTATGGCCATAAAGGTATAAAGCTCTGGGTCTGTGGCCTAGCATTGGAATTAATAAATTCTGTGAAGCTGCCGAATGGTATTTATGCTGTTTGCAAAATTCTATTACTGGAAATTAGTTCTCAAATGCCACTTTTGATGCTATCTTAGGAATTTGAAGTCAATTTTGCTTAAGTGCCACAATGTTCCTCACACCAGCCAATGCTCTTTATTTCCCAGGTCACAATCCTTCCTAGTTTCTTAGTAATTTTCTGCTTTATTTTCCTTTCCAAGTGTATGATTTGACCCTGCTAAATATCATCAGCCATCTTCTTTTTCCAGCCTATAGAAGGTGTCCTCTCTGTTCATATTTACTATTATAAAACAACTTTTCATCACTGGAAAAGTTAGGGTTGGGCTTAAGGTAGTTAATCTTTTGAGTAAGTGAAGAGGACATTTATATAAATTGCAGTTGATCTCCATATTTATTAAGTGACTTTTGTCCTGGCAAGGAAGTGAATAAAGATGACAAAAATAAGGTATGTCCATGTATTTACCACAAGATTCAAGGATCAGTCAGGACAGTGACATTTGCCTTGCTAAACAAATGCAAAGATTATGTATCACACCACTGATAATATTCAGTAAGGCAATTAAGAATCCATGCCATAAGTGTATGATAAAATGAAGTTTCCCTCTCAATATATCTCTATATTCCAGTAACCAAATGATAAATAATCTTGCTGCAATCTAGGATTTGATCCAACTTCCCTATTGAGAAGTTGAACCCCAGACTGTTTGCTCATTAGACTCCCTAGCTTAAAAAAGATATTAAATATTCATTAACAAAACTCACAGTCATACATCCATTTCTTATAGTAAATATTTCCTGTCAGGCAAATTGACCAATTGCAAACATCACATCAAGAAAGAGGACTCTATCTTCTCCTGAAACAAGTAGTTAATATGATACTTCATAGTTTTAAACTGTTTTTCCTTCCTCTGTTAATGTCAAATTTGTATACATATGTAAGCAAACAGTCACAGAGAGACACATTTTTTCAGTTCCTTTCCTGAATTTTTGTTCTTCCCTTAAATTTTGTGAAAATTTTAATACTTGTAGGATTGCAGGCTTTTTGTCAGGATCCCAAAGTGGGTAATACCTCATCTGAGAGCTCTTTCTTTACACAACTTGCTCTTGCTGGTTACCACCCTGTGAAAAGAGTGTTGACACCTAGGTCTTCAATTATGACCCTTGTAAATGTCCATTGGGATTTATGAACTCTGACATGGGGAAAAATTCTTCATCTATCATCATTTGAAAGTTTTGGAAAACTTTTATTAATGTGACATGTATTTTTTACAAAGGGTTAGAAAGTTTAAACAACAGGCTAGCACATAGAACCCTTAATGTGATGTTTAGCACATTGTAGTTGCTTAGTTGGTGACATTGTAGCCAATAAGACACTTAACACTACTGTACTGAAATAATGGGAATCATGCTTTCAGACTAAAGGTTTTTTTGAGTAATTTTAGATAATTTGATAGATATTTGGGCCTTGATTTTGGACATGATTATGAAGGGATGATGCAACTATAACCAAATTTATCATTGTTAATGTGATAACTTTTCATTGCTAAAATTGATGAATTATGAAACTGAAAGCAATGTAAAAGGTTAAAGTCACAGAAGGCATGTAGAATTATATATTTCACTTCATGTGAATAATTTAAAATCCTTTTAAAAGAATTTTGAAACACCAGAATTAATTTCTTCAAAAAGACTGAGTCTATGTGCCATTAATTTAGCTATTTTGTATTATAAAAATTCAAATTCCTAAGGAAAACAGACAAAATGATAGCATTATCAATGTCATTTTTTTAATCTTTTAGGAGTACACAATAGATATAATTTTTGCCCAAACCTGGTTTGACAGCCGCTTAAAGTTCAATAGCACCATGAAAGTGCTGATGCTTAACAGCAACATGGTGGGAAAAATTTGGATTCCTGACACTTTCTTCAGGAACTCAAGAAAATCTGATGCACATTGGATAACAACACCTAATCGACTGCTGCGGATTTGGAGTGATGGAAGAGTTCTATACACTCTACGGTAATATTTGTTATAAACTTCAGTTAATACCAGTTCCTTCTTAACACCAGCAGAGCAAGACAAAGGGACTCCATCTATTTGCAAAGATATAAAATGGTGAAGTATTTCGGTGATGCAGTTTTATATTCAGAGTTGCTATAAACTAAGAGGTGTGGGTTCAAACTTCCAACTTGGAAGAAGAAAAGTTGGTGACTTATATTTTTATTTTATTCATTTATTTATTTGATGTTGTTTTAAATGTTTTTATTTTGTTTGTATATGAATTTTACTTGCATTTTTACTGCACACATGCCTGGTAAAAACCATAAGAGGGACTTAGATCCCCTGAAACTTAGTTACAGATGTTTATGAGTCACTATGTGGGTACTAGGAACCAAAACAGCTTCTCTTCAAGATCAATGAGTGTTTAGCTTCTGAGGCATGTGTTCTGTCTTTGATGATATTTCTAAGTGTATAATGGAAGTTACTGTGATTTTTCCCTTGTGTGTGTGTGCGTGTGTGTATAAATACATGTTCTTAGGCCCCTGAAAGGAATACATTATACAAGGTTATGCATGATTTTTTTCATTGAATTTAGCATGATCATCTTCAAGGATGACACCAATAAACATGCCAAAGTAGAAAGGAAAAACCTCAAAAGGTTTCTATGCTACACAAAGAACTATAGCTAATTCAGCTAATATAGCTAATATTTCTAATATTCTGATTTTTAGCATAGTAGTAAAACAGATTGATGTGTGATTTCAAGTCTAATCAATTTATTCCCTTCAAAATATATGCTTATTAAAATCACTCCATTTTTACTATTTTAATTGTATGTTTGAGATTATATTACATCTACATTTCTCTGTTTTCTGTCCTCCCTCTGAACCTTCCCATATAAGTTTTCCTGTGCTCCTTCAAATTTATGGCCTGTTTCTTCACTAATGGTTATTGCATACATATATTTATATGTATCCCTATGAATATACATGTATACATATATATTCTTAAATGTAACCTGTTCAATCTATATAGTGTTACACATGTTTTCAGGGCTAACCATCTGGCATTGAACAACCAATGAGTATTTTGTATCTGGGAAGGCCACCTCTCCGGACCGCTGTTTTCCTCAGTTGTCTATAGTTCTTTGTGTAGCATAGAAACCTTTTGAGGTTTTTCCTTTCTACTTTGGCATGTTTATTGGTGTCATCCTTGAAGATGATCATGCTAAATTCAATGAAAAAAAAATCATGCACAACCTTGTATAATGTATTCCTTTCAGGGGCTTAAGAACATGTATTTATACACACACGCACACACACACACACACACATATATTCATGAAGTTCTTGAAGCTTTATTTTTAAATGTAAATATAGAGATTGAAACATATAAAGTATCTACTTAGTTGACTGAAGAAATTTTTGACATTCATGCTCAATAGTGAAAGATGTAATATTCATCACTAAACTTTTTTTAAGATTATCTTTTTGTTTTTTTTTATACCACAGTCCATTACAGGATTTCCAAGGATGTTTTAAAATCAGATAAGTGGTTATTCATGACTTAAAGAATTCTGTTTAATAAAATATCTATTTTTCACCTAAATAGATTAACAATTAATGCAGAGTGCTATCTTCAACTTCATAACTTTCCAATGGATGAGCATTCCTGTCCACTGGAATTTTCAAGCTGTAAGTGAAAATATTTGATTCTACCATAAATTTTAATTAAAAATACTTTATTAACATATAAAATGAAATCAAGTATAATCTTTGAATATGTTGAATATTCTTCAACTTTTAATTTCAAAATATAAATAATACATTTGTTTATTGATTTTAATTGAAAATAACGTATAGTTAATATGAATATTACAAATAATCTTTAAAACTTTCATTTTTATTTCAATGCTTTTTACTTTATTTTTCTACTTTTCTTTTATTGAAAATAGATTTTTATAGAATATATTCTAATTACAATTTCCCTTCCCTCAAATTCTCTAAAATGTTCCTCACCTCCTCTCCCCATTTGAATAACAATCATTTTGTCTCTTCTTAGAAAACAAACAGGTGACTAAAGAGTAACAATATAAGATAAAACAGACAAACTAGAGCAGAAAGAAATAAGCAAGCAATTCTTCTTCTCATTCTGAATACTCTAATGAGCTATGAATCCATTCTTGCATTCAAATGTTACAGCCAGAATAAAAATTTTGTGCAAACCATATCAATCTTCCTGATGCAAAATCTAACTTTATTAGATGGGTTTTAAAGTATGTTTTAAAAATTGGTGCAATGAAAAGTGTTTACTTAATGAATAGCAAGTATCTAGAAGAATTTAATGACTTGGAAATCCATGGTAGTCGTAAGCTTACTTAATAATGAAAAACCAATGAAATGCAAAAAAGTGTTTGATTCTAAATACATTGAAAATAAAAACCTAATCTAGCACTTTCTTACAATATGATAGCTAGAATGTTTTTGTTGAAAAATTAATTTTATACAATTATTACTAGTGCAGTTATACTCATGTATGTTTTATATAAATATGTATTATATAATAACTAAGTCTTAACAATATACAGTCATTTTTAAAGTGCCATTGATTATATTGATGAGTTATCTAGGGTGTTTTCCTTCTTAAAAATCATGATTTTTGTTTAGAGTCTAAGCCACTCCCTCCCAGAGTGTGAATTAGCCATTCTGAAGTTTTATCCAACTTTGTTTATCTCCAAAATTCTTTTAAATTCATTAATTTCTTGAAATACATTAATAGGTTTGCTGTAGTACAACATACTTCTATACTAATCAGCTCAGATTTCAGTTCTTTAATTTCCAAACTTTGTCTTAGGAAGATAAATTTTAATTAGAAGCCAAGACATGATTACTCTAAATGTTCAAGGCATCCTTTATAGGTAAATACTGATGATCTGTAACTCATTGTTTTTGGAAAAGGTTCCATTCCAGTCTCTCGGTGTGATCTTTACTTGCCTTTATTCATATTACTAGGGGTACCTACACCCTTGTAAAGGCAATTGAGTGTCAAGGGCACAAACATATTAATTATAGTCACAGTTTTTCAGCATAGTTATAAAAGTCCATGAGGGAAATTAAAATTTTCACCCCCATTACTTCACAACAAAATACAGAAGATTCTAGTGAAACCTGATAGTAACACTCAATATCACAACTCAGTGTTAATTAGTTCCCACAAAAATCTGTGAATATACTGTCTAGTTTCTGTATCTATAATGAGTAAGAGCTAGCTAGAAAAACACAATGTGACAAGAGAAAGAGAAAATAGAAAAACGAAAGAGAAATTACTCCTAACCAGGTCAGCAGAGATGACAGATATTATATTGAATTGACAACAGAATATCCTGAAAAATAATGTATTTATTTGAAAGTGTTACAGTGATTAGTGGAATTTGATTATGTAATATGATACCCCAGCTTGTTGGCAGAAACAACTAAAATTTCCATTTTATTAAAATATTCCCCCAAAATATGATTACCAGTAGGAAAAGTTTTTAACTATAGGAACTCATATAAGAAATTGTAACCCGAAAGATAGGCTTGCAATCAACCCAGACATGAGGATATTGTAAAAACCTGTTGATTTCCCATGTTGGTTTTGACAGTATTTGGGGGAGGGATGAAATCTAGTAGAATATAACAATGGCCAGTCCACAATGGTGTACACTTGAAATTCTAGCTCATGATAGTCTGAGATGCTTCCAAAGTTCGAGGTAAATAATGACTGAGACAAATTGAGATTTATGAATAGGAAATAGATTGACAACAAGTTTCCCTCATTCTCAAACTACTAAATGCTAAAATAAAACTCATAACTTTAATCATCTTTACTGCCATTTAATTCTTTAAAGCATACACATGCATGCAAATTTCAGTTACTATTTTCTATATTAGACAAACCTAATAATACTGAATGAGGGAGGAATTTCAAGTAGCCATTGTTTGGATGCTGTTGGTATTGCAATGATAATTTATCTAACTTTTGCTAAACTGCATGTGTTTTATTACAATTTTCTCTCTAGATGGATACCCTAAAAATGAAATTGAGTATAAGTGGAAAAAACCCTCTGTGGAAGTAGCTGATCCTAAGTACTGGAGATTATATCAGTTTGCATTTGTAGGATTACGAAATTCCACTGAAATCTCCCACACGATCTCTGGTAAGAGGCAACCGGAAGCCAATGTTCAATGTTGGCCATGAATGCCATTGTTACTTAGTTACATAAAGTAGATTGGACAATTTATATATATTTACTCACTATAAAACATATCCATTTCTTATAGGAGATTATATTATCATGACAATTTTTTTTGACCTGAGCAGACGGATGGGATATTTTACGATTCAGACCTACATTCCATGCATTCTAACAGTTGTTCTTTCTTGGGTTTCTTTTTGGATCAATAAAGATGCAGTACCTGCCAGAACATCACTGGGTAAGACTATGCTACTATATCATAAGAACTTAAAGATTAATAAATAAAACTTCATTGATGTGTATAATAGAAGCTTCTACTAGACCATATAGAGCTTAAATAGTAAAGGACTTTACATACTAATGAACTTGGAATTAGAAACTCTTATTTTCCTATAAACAGAACATATATTTGAATCTCATTCAAAAAATATTTTAGTTGCTTTATAACAAAATTGATTATGTTATAGCAGAATAACAAATCATCAACATTCATTTACTAGCTAATAGTAGAATTACAAACTGATGCCTAGCTATTCCAAGAGAGAGATATCTGGATGGAACAAGAGCATCCTGGTTTCTGTAACATCAAAAATAGTGGAATTAATCTGTTACTTTTAGAGTTTTTATACGATTACAAGAGTAATTTCTAATTTCTGCTTTAAAAAATAGACTATGATCCTTCTATAATAGTGTGTTGTAGAGATCACATTATTTAAGAAAATAAATGACTGATTTTATGTGTGTTTTAACAAAGTGGCAGTCTATATTTGCAGCATTATACAAAAAAGCTTATTAATCAAATTATTCATTTTCAGGTTAAAGGATGAATCACAATGCAATTATAATTGTTTCTAAAATATGTAAAGTTAAATCAGTTTTCTTTTCAATGATTAGTAGGTTTTTCTATGACTTCTGTGATACCTGGAAAACAAGTTCATTCAATGAACAGAGTAAAGTGAAACTCACAGAAATATGTCAGTAATAAATCCTGAAGCATCAATATCAGAAAAAATCTTAGGGGATTTTATCATAGGTCTAGAGAAGATGAGTGAAAAAATCTACATTTTTAAATTATAATTACCCTGATTATGTAAAATATTTTATGTTCATCAATAAAAGACTTAATGAAGCTTCTTTATATGATATTAAATTTATAAGTTAGGAACTGGGGATACTGACAATACTAAACTCTAGGCATAAGAAGAAGTCATTATCACATTGCTTTTAAGATTACACAGCAAATAAATGGAGAGTAAGAAATTGAACCTAAATTTGCTTCCATTTCTCAAAATCTACCACATTTGTATCATTTTTATTTATAATAATAATTATCTAGGAAAGAAAAATGCCGAGAATGTCTGAGTATTATTTCAGCATGTTCCAGTGGGCACATTATAGACAATGTTCCCTACTGCTTGCCCGATATTAAAGACTTTTCTATAGCCATTTCTACTGATTTTTTAAAATCTTGCTTTTATATTCATAATTACAAATCAGTATATACTTAGCACTATACTTTGTATACCTGAGAGAGTTAAACATTCCATTCATAGAGCTATTTGTGGTGGAAGAAAGTAGGAGAATGGTATTGGGTAGCTGGAAAGATAACTTGATATTATATTCTGCTGCTCTTGCTGAGGACCCAGGTTTCATTTCCAGTACACCCGTGGACTCACAACCATCTTCAACTATACACCTAGGGGGTCTGATCCTGTCTTGCAGCTTCTTGTAATGCACCCATGTGGTGCTCATACAAATATTGTAAAACTCACACACAAAGGCACTTAAATAATTCCGTCTGTAGAAGAATGAGAATGACTGTGGTTTAGACACAAAGAATTTCGAGGTTCTTCTCATTTGGGTGGACTAAGGCTATCAGAGGTAAGAACAATAGGAAGACTGACATACAAACAGAGAGCTAAATGAGTCTAAGAATGGACACATGGGCTTGGCTCTGACACACATACTGAATTCTTGGAAATACAGAAAAATCATTCAGTGTATTTGAAACATAAAATGTATATTGACATAATTTTGCATGTATCCTTAAATTTGTAGTTTTAGAAATTGAGTTCAAATTACCACATAAGAAAATATTACATTAGTACATTAAGTTACTTTCACTGAGTAAGGCAAAACAAGCAAACAAACAAACAAACAAACAACTACACAGCAGCAACAAAAACAAAACCCTGCATTAACTGTTGCTTCAAGTAAGTTGGAAAGTACTTTTTTTTACTGTACACATCCAGCAGTGGAGACTCACTGTTGTGTTGTACACTGTGGCAAGAGGGATTCAGGGACATCTGGTTTTCAGATGTGTTGTGGGTGACTTGTATTTCCATAGTCGTCTTATACTTTAAGGTGGCTAGTGCCTTCTGGTCATTTTATTGCAATAGAACAGAGAAAAGGAGGTGGGTAAGTAAAGCATCTCTAGCACTGTTGTGTCTTGTAGACATTAATTCCTGCCTTATTTCCCCAGGCAAGATCTTACTCTGTGGTCACATTCTGCTGCAGAGGTGCTAGACAATGAAATTATTCCTTCAGAAAGCCTGTGTCAACTAAAAATGATTCCTTTTTAACTATGGAGAAAGGGAAGAGTGAATATTAGGAGCCACCCTGAAATCCATAGTAATTTGAATCATTGAAATTTCCTACACAAAGAACACAGTGAACATAATGTAGCCATGGTTACTAGTAGTTCTTTCTGGCAATCATATTCTTTTGTTTCCATTGTTTATTTTAGCTGACAATATTGTTAAATTAGACAAAAGAATCAAAATGTTCTGCTAAATTACTTTTAATCATCTATTATTTCTCCTTTTCTTCACAGGTATCACAACGGTTTTGACTATGACAACCCTCAGTACAATTGCAAGGAAATCTTTACCTAAGGTTTCTTATGTAACAGCAATGGATCTCTTTGTGTCTGTTTGTTTTATTTTTGTGTTTGCAGCACTGATGGAATATGGAACCTTGCATTATTTTACTAGCAATAATAAAGGAAAAACCACCAGGCACAGGAAGCATAAAAACAGGACTTATATATATATATATATATATATCACTCTCTCCCCCTCCTTTCCTCCCCATCCTGTTTACCTTTGAAAATCACAATCTCTTCTTTAGTTATTATTGCTATATGTATATACACACACGTATGTGAATATATTTGGACCCTCTGGGTTTGTTTAACTTGCTCATATATATATTTGTCCAGGACTATCAATTGGGATTGGGCAAATTATGTGGGAGTTTGTTTCTGGGACAACTAGTTTTCCTCTCAGGAACAACTGACCTTCTGTAGTAATTCATGTAGAGGTGGGACATTGTAGAATTCTCCTGCCTGCTTTGGCATATCAACAGGCATTGTCATGATGGTCTTGTACAGATAAGTAGGTTGTTGATCATTCATAGGTGTATTTCCTTGTCATCCTTATCTACTGTCTAGTATGTTTCCACTTCCTCTTCCATGATTTTCACTTAGCCTCAGCTTTAGGAGTTGCACTGTAGGTGTATCACTTGTGGTTGGGCACACCGTAGTCATATATTCTATGTATTTTCACTAGTTGTATATTTGTGTAATTGTCTCTATCTCTTGCAAAAAGAAGTTTCTTCGCTGAGCAGATAAAGTTGCACTTATCTGTGGGAATAATAATATATATATTGAAAATGGTTAAAAATAATATTGGATTAGGATTGTTGTGTAAATGGGATGCATGAGAAATAGGATTCAAGATCAATAAAATGAAAGTAAAACTAGATTACCTATAACTAATCAGACAGAAAGCCTTATTTATAATTTTCAATTAACTCTACTGGTCTTCCTTATAAAAGTAGACTTTTATTTTTAATACAATATCCAATCATGACACTACCATCCCACACTTCCACTACTCAACAGCCCCCAAAGACACTAGCATCACATCTTCCTCCCAACTTCATGTTCTTTTTTAGGAGTATTTATTTATTTTAACCTGTGTAGTTGTATAGATCTTGCCCACATGTACATAGGATCATCCACTCCAGCCTGAATAATTTTTCAATGGTCTTTCTCCTAAAGAAAAGTGACTCTCCATTTTCAAGCAACCATCAGTTCTTAATAGTTGCTCATCTAGTGGGTAGATTCAGAATCCACAAACTGCTTCAAGCTAGAATTTTTAACTGGCTTATTCCTGTGTAGGCAATCACAGATGCTGTGAGTTGACACATGGAAAAGCCATGTCCAGAGGATGGCATTACACCACAGCTTCTGCTCTTACATTCTTTGTCTCCTTTTCCTGAAATGTCTTGGAACCTTTGTGGGGGTGATGATATAGATGTTCTTTCTGTGACTGAGTCCTAATAGTTACTCCTAACAGTTTTAATAGTAACCACAACCTACTGAAATAAGCTTCTTTGCCAAAAGTTGGGGCCAGCACAAATCTCTGGATATAAACCCGAGTACCTGTAAGTCAGTTTGAGAACACAACTATTTAGAAGAACAGTATGAGTGGGTTCTCCTCTATAGTTTAATCCTTCCCTAGCCAAGAGTTTTGATCCTGTTTCCTCCAATGAGGCAGGCCTCTAGTCTAGTCAAGAGACCAGATGGTTACCCCTTGAATACAATTTCATTAATGTAAAGTGAATAGATCCTGTTTAGAAAGTCAGTACCAGAGTTATAAACCATAGACGTACTTTCTTCCCTACCAGCCTGCATTACACTTTGCAGTGCTATGAAAGATAGGCAGAAGGTAGAGTTCCCTGGTCAGTTCAGGATTGATTTCTCTGTAAATGTCACCAATGTACATGATGTCTTTGGCAACAGGGTCAAGTTACAGTGAACAACTGAGAATAATGACAAAAGACTATATTGTTTTGGATGCTATTGAGGCCTCCCTGACCAAAAATCTTAGGAGGTAACCCCATTTCTCAGCTAAGATTTTCTTTTAGTAACCCATCTCTGCTTGGAGTAGTATTGTCCACTAATGTTGAGTACTTCTGTTAAAATGCCCCTTTTAAAGGATATATTCTAAATTAGCTTAGATGACTGGAGTTTCATGAGGCTTCTTTTACATAATTAGTCTTGGTCAATCCATCCCCTACTCTCTTTGCCCCTCAGTCTTTAATTTAGTTACTGGTCTATTGCTGTGAAGAGACACCGTGACCAGTGCAACTCTTATGAATGAAAACATGAAATGGAGGCTTTCTTAGAATTTCAGAATGGCAGGAAGCAGACAGTTATGGCACTGGAGCAGTAGTTGAGAGCTTTACATCCTGCTTCATAGGATACACACACACACACACACACACACACACACACACACACACACACACACACAGACACGGAGGGAGGGAGGCAGGGAAGGAGGGAGGGAGGGAGATAGGGAGGGAGGGAGAGTTAGAGAGAGAGAGAGAGAGAGAGAGAGAGAGAGATAGGTGAAGAGAGAGATGGAGAAATGGATAGAGAGGGGGAAGGAGAGAGAGACAAAGGATAGAGAGGAAAGAGATAAAGACTTGTCTTGACATGGTCCTTGGAACCACAAAGCCCATTGTCAGTGACACATCTCTTCCAAAAAAGCCACATTTTTAATCCTTCCTAACAGTCTACCAATTGGGAAAGAAACATTTGAGTCATTTGAGTCTATGAGCCTATGGGGGCCAGTATTATTCAAGCCACCACAGTCCCCCATACCCCACTTAATTTTTTATTGTCCCTCTGATACCTCATATTACATGATTCCTATTATTCTCTCTCACCGTATTTTGACTTAAGTTGAGGATCATAAGTTCTCAGTATTCTCTTCACACACACTTCATTTTGTTTAAGCCTTCCAAAGGACACTCTTGTCTATAATCCCTATTACTCCACTAAGTCCTTAATTTTTCTGCTCCCCAATTTCCATTTCTCTATTTTCATTTCAAATGTATTATACCACCCCCTCCTCTAAATGCATATACCTCACCAAAAGCCCTTTTCATGTTTCCTACTCTCCACATTTACTGCGTATCAAACATACAGAGGAAAATACCTTACTGAGAATATATATTTGTCTGTTGTTTCCTAGGTGACTACATCTTGTATAACTTTTTCAGTTCCATCATATACCTGCAAATTTCATCTTTCATTTTCCTTTAGAATTGAGTAATATTCCATTGTATACCTGTACCCTATTATACACCACATTTTCATTTGTCGTTTGATTGATATATGGGTGGATTCCATTTCTTAACTATTGTGAGTAAAGCAGCAATCCATACGAATGTGCAAGGTTCTTTATAGTAAGCTATAAAGTGTGTTGAACATATGTGCAGGAGTAATTTATGCTTGGTTGTATGAATATCTGTTTTTAATGTTTGGAGAAATGTGCCTACTGGTTTTCTGAGTAGCTGAACTACTTTATACTCCCATTAATTATATGTGATACTGACAAACAAAATCCAAGATTATAAGAGAGAACCAAGACCAAGATAGCTTCATTCCATAGATGCAGGCATGGGTCAATAAATGTAAACTAATAAGTGCTATGTATTTTTCTAGACTCAAAACATTTCCATTAAGATCAGGGACAATGCATGTGTTCTCACAATGTATATCCAATTAGTTAATATTCTTTCATACTAACATTATTTTACATAGGTGGAATGGTGTCTAAACTTATTTAAGATACATTTTTGAAGCTGCTTGGGGTTTTTCACACCTGTTATCCTTGAACTTGCAAGGCAGATGTATGGGGACTGTCACATGTGCTGAGCTATAAAATAAAACCTTGCATCAGTACAACAAAATAAAATATTAATAACATCAACCAGTTACATTTGATTTTTATTTCACAAGAAAATGTGGATTTGCAATAATGAGTGGCACACAGAATTAGCTTAATTTTTGAGTGTAAGGTCTCTTTTAAAGTTAAAACCCAGGAAGAGCAGGAAGTCATAGCTGTTACATTTTCTCTGGTTTCTGTAGAATTATACTCCTTCAATCCACATTCCCAATCAAGTGACTAAGTTACAGATTGCATCTAATTATATGTTAAATTGATTTTAATCATTCTAATACATGTAACAAATTATTGAATGCAATTTAAATTTATAATAGCACCTATAAGAATCTGAATGCAATACCTAACATTCACCGAGGGTTCCAGGCAGATTTGAGCATTTTACCAGGTTACATTTGTGCTCAAAGAAACCCTGAAAACCCAGGTACACTGATTTTAACAAGGACAGCTTTGTCAGTGATAGATCCAAGATTCCTGCTCAGTTATTTCATTGAGCCCAGAGCTCCATCTTTCTGGTCTTCCTTTTAACGTTTTTTCTTCTGTTCAAAGCACTTAGAAAAATAGGCTTTCATTTCACCAATATTGACAAAGTGGCAGTAAGCTACTGGTTCCAGGAAATACTTTCAGAACAGATTATGCCAAAACTCAAATGATGACAGTGCAAGATGTCCATCCTTGACAAGCAGCTTTATAAGTCTGCTATAACGTGTGCACCATGACACTCATGGGATCAAATTATTTTACATTTGAGGAATCAATATTTTGAGTCCATTTTTTCTTTTTATGCTATTTACTCTAGAAATTTGGACATGATTTTAATTATCCTTTATTTTTCATATTATATTTTAAAACTTAAAGCTGAGTAAACTCTTTGCCCTCAGGTCCTATTATGCTCAATGTAAAAGAAGACATCGTGACTTGCAAAAATCTGAGAAATTGCTTTATTCAAAAAATGTGTGACTTTCACAACTTCATATCAATTTAAAATATCACATTTATGAATGATATCCTGCTAAATGGACAAAGTACAAAAGAGCAATGATTTCCACTTAAATAATCACTGCTAGATTAAAAATAAATATAATTATCATTGTGAATACATGATATGTGGGGATGTGGTCTTATATGTACCAGAGTATTCATGAAGAGGATAGAGGAAAACGTTGTGGGATGGGTTTCCTCCTTCCATTTTAATGTGGATTCCAGAAACTAAACTGACATTGCCATTTTATGCATTGAACCATTTTTCCTGCATGTGCACTGATAAATTTTAAAAAAT